GCTTTGATCTCAAAACAAGCGCATCTACTCACAACCGCTCATGCTGTAAACACAGTCCAGTTCAAAGTAAATGGCACAGATCCATATATGGCAATGGTCTGTTTACATATAGGCCTACTGCAGCTCTGATCGTTTATGCAGCACCGGTCTGTGTAGAGTACGGGCTGAGTAGTGCATGTCGATGCAATAGAATCCTACTCCGATGCGTTCTGCCTACAACAAAATCCTTACCACTGCTACACCTGGCTATCAGCAGAGCCTTGTCTGGCAGCGAAACAGTTAATTCAGCCTCATTTACTGCCTTTTCAAAAAACATAGCTGATATGGCTGACTTGCTTAAACAACTGTGGTTTCTACTGACAATTGAGATGTACAAACTATGGCATAAGGGGACGACGAGCAGATAAGAGGCAATCCGTAATTTCGATTAAGACATTAATGAGCGAGCTAGGATGGACGTAGTCAATATAACCATTTGTTCAGCACTTTTGAAATGTACAGCGACAGAATTCAGAACATGGGCCTACTTGGTGCGCAGTGCAGCTGAATCCGGTGCACCTACCATCAACAGCCCAAGACGAATAAAAAAAAATACGAACACAAGGCTTTATCGTTGAGATTTATACAGAAATGTTTGGCAATCGACTAGGAATGCCTTGGTGACCACTGCTCTAGAAAATGGAGTGAAGTTCAATCAATTCAATTCAAGGGCTTTATTGGCATGGGAAACATATGTTTACATTGCCAAAGCAAGTGGAATCTCTTGCTTCTCTCTGTTGGCTGATATTTCTGCACGGCAGTCTTGGGGCTACTGCGCGCGCACGTACGCGCACATTTTAGAGGGAACCTTGCACCAGACCCTTTTCTGAGCGCTCTGCTATTCAGAGAATTATCATTAAGCTCTGCCAAACGTTAACTGTGGCTGCATTGTTCACTCAGGGAATGAACTTCTCGCACATAAAAAACCTGGTTACCTTGTAATCTAAAAATGGACGGCTTTATAGGCCTGGGTAGCTGGGCAGATTAAACCTTCGTTCAATGAATTCCTCTCTTTCTTTCTTGCTCTCTTTCTCTCTCTCACTCTCTCTCTCATTCACGCTTTCTTTTTTTCTCTTTGTCTTGTCTCTGTCTCTCTACAAACAGTAGCATTGTATGGAGTTTATCAAGTGCAATCGGAAAACATTACTGTGTTTATCCTTGGCACATAACAATGAAGATAACTTATTGTATAAAGGTCTTTTCAAAGTGCCCTCTCCTTCATGCTCAGCACTCCAAGGTAGAACTTTTGAACTGAATACAGTAGCGTGTTAAAGTGATAGTGCTTTTAGTGTGCAAGGATACAATAGGTACAGAATATATATATCAGTCAAATGACTATTTAATTAAGAAACTCGTAACTGGTGAGTGTGTGTATGTGTATGTGTGTGTTAGAGGTGGAGTGATGACATATGCAGCTTGTGAAATATACACCTCCTGGGTGTGTATCTGTAGGGGTATAGTGTTCTGCCAGGGTTTATCGGAATGCCTTGCCTGTCTGGAGCGGTTGGGTATTTTGGTGGAGCAGGTTGGGTCATGTCGCATTGACTATTCATCCATATTCACCTAGCTAACAGCCTAACAGCCTGCCTGGCTGACTAATACCTGGCTGCAATCAGTGTATGAGCCTCACAATAATCACCACGGTAGACTAATCATACAATAACAAGGCAATTTTCAACCAAATCATCAGCACACACACACACACACACACACACACACACACACACACACACATAAACACTTATCATACAAACACGTCTTCAACAATACCCTCCACAACACACTGGCTCATAACCGAAAACAAATCTATTTAAATCCCCAGCAACAATAACCCACTTATAAACAACTCAATACCCTCATCTCATCTGCATGGACCATCTCAATAAGAGGCCTTCCCTACAGAGAGGAGCTGTTTATAACTCTACTTCATAGTTATTCACATCACACATCTCTCATACATCCAGTGATGGGGGGGACTAGAGGATCACACCACTGTTGAGGGCTCTTCACACACAATCTTTATTCTAATAACCCAGACAGATACATACCTAGCACAGAGACTTAATACACACTACCACTCAATATACAATCCCTGTGCTATATATCACTCACCATCCACTTTGTTGTCACTATGGCATAACTCACAAGTACAAAATAGGACAAAGCACAAAGAGACTGGTAACTGGGTTTTTATTCTGCAGTAGCTAACTAGTGATGTTTGTATAAGATGTTTTGACTGGCCCTGTTCGTGTGTGTTCTCCAGGCGACGTACCGTCCGTTCCTCAGACAGGTTCTGGAGGAGATCTTCCACCCAGACAGACCTGAGTGTCCCGACATAGAACACATGTCTGGAAGCCTTACTGACATGCTTAAGACTGGCTTCAGTATGTTCATGAAGGTGAGAGACTGAACCAACAACACACACACAGAAGTCACACACGTGAGAGGGCTATTTATCAAAGGGTAATATTTGGCTGAGAGCTAGGGGTTGATGGATATAGAGATTGGGCCAGAGGTTTATGTGTGTAATGCACTGTATATCCACCACAGACTCCTTTCAGCCAGTGGTCTGACTTCCCCACATCTGGTGTGACTGGCCTGTATAGAGAATTAGACTGGTGACTGGCATGTATAGAGAATTAGACAGTTTCACTGAAATGAAGAACCATGCTCCACAAACAGACAGCCTACCAAGAAAGCCCATACCATAAAGGTAACTTTCTCTGAACCATAAAACCTCTATAGTAATACTATACACACCCTCCATACAGTAAAGCTTCCATATAAAACTCACTGACCATGGCACAGTATAACCTTTAACCATAAAACACATGGTTACACCCTTTAGTCTGTACCACAATGTACCTTCACTGTCTAGCACCCTGTCTTCACTGTCTAGGGAACAACTCTCAAAAGACCCCATCTGTAGTTCCTTAGAGGTGTGTGTCTGTCTGTCTATGCTAAGGTGTGTGTGTTGCTGTTTTTGTTCGCTGGGTTCCTGTGAAGTCTTGTCTAGACAGACTTTGAGTCGTACAGACTCCTTGGCTCCTTTTCAGCTGCAAACCTCATGCCACTCTGATTCAGCCTGCTGGAAACAAAGAGGACACGTCTGTCAGTGGAACGCTTTTAGCTCACACATACATTTACATTTTACATTTAAATTTTAGTCATTTAGCAGACGCTCTTATCCAGAGCGACTTACAGTTAGTGAATACATATTTTTTTTATACTGGCCCCCCGTGGGAATCGAACCCACAACCCTGGCGTTGCAAACGCCATGCTCTATCAACTGAGCTACATCCCTGCCGGCCATTCCCTCCCCTACCCTGGACGACGCTGGGCCAATTGTGCGCCGCCCATGAGTCTCCCGGTCGCGGCCGGCGGCGACAGAGCCTGGATTCGAACCAGGATCTCTAGTGGCACAGTTAGCACTGCGATGCAGTGCCTTAGACCACTGCGCCACTCAGGAGTACATACAGGGAGTGTGTGGATGTGTTAATGTGTTTAAGTGAGTGAATGGAGAAATGTTACATTTTGTCTTCATAGCACCCCCTCCTCTCCTCTTCCCTCCTCCTCTCCTCTCCCCTCCCCTCCCCTCCGCCCTCCTCTCCTCTTCCCTCCTCCTCTCCTCTTCCCTCCTCCTCTCCTCTTCCCCCTCCTCTCCTCTCCCCTCCCCTCCTCCCTCCTCTTCTCTTCCCTCCTCCTCCTCCTCCCTCCTCCTCTCCTCTTCCCTCCTCCTCTCCTCTCCCCTCCTCCCTCCTCCTCTCCTCTTCCCTCCTCCTCTCCTCTTCCCCCCTCCTCTCCTCTCCCCCCTCCCCTCCCCTCCCTCCTCCTCTTCTCTTCCCTCCTCCTCTCCTCTTCCCTCCTCCTCTCCTCTTCCCCCCTCCTCTCCTCTCCCCTCCCCTCCTCCCTCCTCTCCTCTTCCCTCCTCCTCTCCTTTTCCCCCCTCCTCTCCTCTCCCCTCCCCTCCACCTCTCCTCTTCCCTCCTCCTCTCCTTTTCCCCCCTCCTCTCCTCTCCTCTCCCCTCCCCTCCTCCCTCCTCTCCCCTCCCCTCACTCACTCATACACATGTATCAGACACTTGGTTGGTGCTACAGTGCAGTGGGTTTGTGTTGCCAGATGGGGGGCAGGTGTTCATACCGCTTTAAGGATGCACATGTAGATGCTGTGTACTGGTCTGCTGTTCTGTGTGTGTGCAGGTATAACTAATTCACAAATGCATGCACACGCATACAAAGACTCATACAGTACATACTGTATGTAGTATGAATACAAATGAACACAAAGACCCATACCCATCTGACCTACCACATTGCACACACATGTTCGGTCTGACATCCACACACTTGTGCATATTGATGAATGTAAACACACACACTCACTTACTTACTCACATACACACACACACACACACACACAGGCTGCCTATTGTAAGACACATGTTGAGCCAGCCCAGGCAGACAGTCCTGATGCACATGTCCGGCCATCCCAGACCAGTCCCCACCCCCCTGCAGCTTTGATTGCACGGTTATTTTTCAAAGGCTGTTGTTGTGGTGTCGTCGTCGCTCCCCAGCCAATAGAACACAGCCATTATCTATAGGCCAACCAATCACACATAGCAGGCGCACCAGACCCCCTGACTCACACTCATGGACAAATCCGTGTGTGTGTCTGGAATGAGTGTTGTTTAAAGCCTTCATGCTGAATAGTCCCTCCAGCTGGGCAGTGACTCAGACCAGAGAGAGGAGAAACTGAAGGACAGAGGGGGAGAGAGACAGAGAGAAGAGAGAATGAGTCAGTTTATGCTGAACTGTAATCTGGCTCCACAGATTGCCTTTAGAGTTTCAGCTCACAAACCATAACATAACCTTCAATTATGATATGGTTAACTTGTGCCAATTAAATTACATGAGCTAATTTTGTCATGTTCTTTTCATCCCAATCCCTAACCACTCCCTAGGTGAGCCGTCCACACCCCAGCGACCACGCCCTGCTCTTTCTCTTCCTGGTGGGAGGAGTCACTCCCTCTGAGCTCCGCCTGATCCGCGAGTTAGTCTCCACCCACAAGCCGGGCACACAGGTGAGAGACCACAGCCATTTGCTCTCAACTCACCTGGCAGAGCTTGAATCGAACAAACAAAGCAAAGTAGGAGGATTTGGAGAGAGAGGGGAAAGAGGGTGAGGTGTAAATAAATCAGAGGAGAGGAGATGTGAGAGGCCAGGTGCAGTCTTCGCTGCTGTGGTATGGATGTGTTTTTTAGGCTACAGCTCTCCAGGTTATGGCTCGGTGGCATTACATAACACACTGTGATGGCTTTGTCATCAGTCTGAGTGACATCAAAAGAGGAGCTTGAGGATAAAACAAAGGGAGGGGACGACCACAAAAATCTGGGTGCTGAGTTGACGATGTTCCTTCATCTGCCCTGGAAGAAAGTCAAGAGTAGCTAGATATTATATAAACAGTCACTCACACACACACACACACACACACACACACAGAGACATATTCTCAGGCGACAGACAATGGATAGTGCAGAAAGGAACTAATGTTATATACACACATAAGTGTACAGTCATTGTGTGTGTTTGTGGTAATGCATCTGATTGTGTATTGTGTGTGATGCAACAGACACTCCGACTCAACCACACTCTAAACATCAGTGTGTATTGTACGTTGTGTGTACATGGTTAGTGAACTGTAAGCCAGTGTACTGCAGTACAGTCTAATCCCTGGCTAGCTGTGTTAATGAAAGTCATGTATAATGGAGTTTAGAGGGAATGAAAGGCCTGAGCAGCATCAAAGGATGATGTCATGAATACATCTCGAATCAGAACAACAGAAGAAAGAGAGGCTCTTACTGTAGGACCCTCATCCTGCAGCCAGCGGCCCACACAATGTCTGACCTCAACACGCACTCCGACCCCAACCCATTCAGCCTGCTCGAGTTGTCTGTCTGCCTCTAGTAGTGTTCTGATAAAGGCTGCGTCCAGGAACATAGAGGTCCTCTAAGTCATTAATTAACCCAGATTTAAAAGCAGTCTGGACTAATGACACGTATGATATTTGTTCAAATACAGTTCAAAGTGAATAGCGTGGGGTTTGCCTAATGTAAGAACTGAGTCATTGGGTCATATACTGAATGTGGAAGGAAGGCACAACAAACTCATCTTTATCTGAATCAATTTGAATGATTTCTATGGAGAGAGTGTTGTGCCTTCTGTTCACATTCAGTATCTACTTATTTAAAGCAGGATGTCTACTCCAGTTGTCTGAACCAATGGTCTGAACACAACCAACTGTTGTCTTTGTCCTTTGCTGATTTAGCCACTAGCTAGTCTGACTCTCTATCCCAGGTGCTGGTCCTCTCCACCAGACTGCTGAGACCTACAGACGTCCCTGAGCTGCTCTTCACCACCCAAAGACTGGTGCCAGACATCGGTGTGTGAGCACGGAACAAGGACCACACACACACTCTCCACTGACACGTACCGCTGTCTGGAGAGGAGAAATTAGATGCTCCATTGAGGTTGTGTGGTTTGGTAATGGATTGGAGTCATGGGTGTAGTGAGCAGCGCAGATGTGGAGGTTCATACCTAAGACTAGATGATATAAAAACAGGATCTATTTAGGCTTTTTCAAAGGCATTCCTAAATGTATTCTTCAGTTGTCCCTTCCCTTGTACTCCCTAAATCACGTTTTAAGGCAACAATTAAGTGTTTATGGATTTATTCCAAACTGTACTGAATGTAAACTGGGGTAAAGAGGATTCTGTCTCGAAGCTCAACTTAAAACAGACAGATGACATTCAAATCAAGTTGCTTTAATATATATTTGTTTGAATTAAATCTGAATACGTTGAATAAACCTTGTATATTTGTGAAACTCATCCATGTGAAATGAAACGTTCGTGTTAGTTGGTTAGTGAGAGTTGTATTGTTCCGACTGTGGCGCTAACTGTCCTACACAATGTGTGAACTCATTACAGGTGAGAGTGAAGTAACGTGAGGAGTCTTGCTGGTTTTTATATTCTGGCACAGTGAAGAATTAAACCACTACACTGTCTAATAATAATAATAATAATATGCCATTTAGCAGACGCTTTTATCCAAAGCGACTTAGTCATGTGTGCATACATATTTTTTTGTGTAGGGGTGGTCCCGGGGATCGAACCCACTACCTTAGCGTTACAAGCGACGTGCTCTACCAGCTGAGCTACAGAGGACTGCATCGGGTTCTCCCCGAGAGAGAGCTAAGGCGTAGGACAGAGATGAGTGTGGAGGGCCTCTGTAGTACTGACAGGCCATGGTCTGTCCAGCAGGAGTCACCAGTTGAGTTTTACACAGTACACATCACTAACTCTGCCCTGAAGCGTAATTTTTGTAAATGTTCAGATGGGTGTTTCACGTTGACTGGAGCCTGATATTCTCAGTCTAAAAGGACAGTAGACTACAGATCAAATCAGCATGAACTGTGAACCTCGCTAGTGACAGGAACTGTCACATTACCTTAGAAATGACGATCAGTCACGCAACTCTGGCAAAGACACCACAATGCAATCACAGTGACAACTGCCGTCAGTCACACCACCCAGGTTTAGGAACAGCACCTGAGGACGAGCCTGGACTATGTTCATGGGTAGAAATGGCGTGGTGTATTATGCTTCATTGTAGGTAATGTCTATGCACATACCCTCACCTATAATCCATATGTCTTTACCTGGTTCATACCTGGCCCGTATAAGTCTGTTTGTATTTTACTCATATGAGGTTACAAATCAGAAGACAAGAGTCATCATGTAATGCAATCATTTTATTTTCAAAAGTATAACAAATACAAGTAAACCATTTGGATTTCTTAAAGTGCATTACAAATACCTCCTACACCCCACCCAGCCCTGTATCCAATCCCTGCTGCCCCACAGTGATCCTGCCTTCCACTCATAGTTCACTACCATGATGTGCAGAATGATGATTTTGGCTGTTGTACAAGTAATGCACTGGGGAATTGGAGATTGTGACAGATGAGAAACTGAACAGTGAACAAACTCAGAGCTCTGACTCAAGTGCATGGCTTGTCTGACCATATCAGTGCTCTTTTAGCATTGCCATGCAGAGTGGCAGCCTGAACAAAAACAAAAAACTGTCAATTGGCGCCAGCTAAAAATACTCTGCGCAGTGTCCTTCAAGGCTTCTGTTGCCAGGAGAAGATGTCAGTGTTCACACAATCATTCAGCTCAAGGACCGCTCCTCTTTGTCCCTTCTGGTGGCCTGACATACCAACACCACCCAGCTGCTGTCCCTCATAGCAGATGTCTGCAGACTCAGTGAACCGTTTCAGACAGGACAGGAGTGACGGTGACAGACAGGCTGACACCTGCCCACCCCACAGGTCATTACCTCTGTCAAACAGTGACCTCGGTCAGAGGTCAAAGTTGAGCCTCCATTTTGTCTCTGCTTCTCGTCGCAGGTCAGGCTGCTCTAGCCATACAGAGGATTGAGTCCCCAAACGAGACCGGAATCTTCTGCCCTCATTTCTCCTCATTCAATTTATTTTCTGTAGCCACTCTGGACCACGTTGTGTAGTAGACGAACCCAAGGCCTTCTCACACAGAGGTGACCGTCCTGACTTTAGCCGACAGAGCCTGCTTGAAGCGCCTCTTCAGGTCCTGCATGTTGGGGGACTTGGGCCTGGGGATGAGGGGTGAGCGCCCCTTCTTTTCTGCTGCTCCAGTTGTGGTGGTGTGGGAGGACAGGGAGGCTTGGGGCTGCTGCTTTGCCATGTGGCAGCACAGCCTGTGGAACGCCTCATGCACCTGGCTGTAGTCCTCACTGGCTGACACCTCGTAGAAGGAGCAGCCCAGCGCCACCGCCAGCAGGGGACCCTGTTCGGCATCCACCCGCCTCATGTGCAGCAGGTCCGCCTTATTGGCCAGCAGGATGACAGGCGGCACGTTGGCCCCACCTGCGCGGGCCACCAGCTGGTGCAACTGGCCAATCAGGTCGAAGCTATGGCGGTCAGTCACAGAGTAGACCAACACCACGGCGTCGGCCCATTGGATGGAGCAGGTCACATGATCAGGGAGGCTGAAGCCGTTACCTGTCACCTGAGGAGAACATGGAGGAGATCATGGTTAGAGAACTGTTACATTGGAACCCATTTGGAACAGTGTTAAAAATACATTAACTTAATAAAATCCAACCTAGACAGACTCACAGCTAAGTGATTTAAATTCATGCCAGACCAAACATGTTCCCATCATTATTCAACAGGTATTTTTTAATGAATGGAGTGCTGTAGTCTAGTCAACCAGTGGGCTGTAATGTTACTCCTCTCCTGCTGAGTGAGTAAAGGGGGTCAGGGTGAGGGTGATTGAGGAGCCAGAAGTGGGGTATCATTTACCCCTGGCTCAAACATCCTCTCCTCTGAATGGGAAATTAGAACGCTAGACTAAAAGGCTCTGTACTTTAGTAAGAAAAAAACTATGCGGGTTTGGACCACTGCCCAGAGCAGGGAGGGAAGAACTCCGAACAGAAAGCTCAAACTCCACATAGCCTACTATGGTTATGCGACTACTGTAAATACTGATTTAATCATTCATAAAACCTCACACTGATCACAGAGAGGCTCTGGTGGACTAGCCTAAATAATGTTGGTCTGTGGGCACTCAAACGCAGCGGTCTCGAGCGCATTTGGGAACGTAGCAAACGGCAGATAGTGAACTTACATCAACACCCGGCGTGTCCTGGACTTGGATGGCTGCTTGCTCTCCTCCGTCCACCTGGACCTCTCTTGAATAAAGGTTTCCTGCGTTTCTCTCATAGTCGCCGATAAAGCGCCTTGTCAGGAATCTTACTACCAGAGCTGGAATACAAGACCATAAGTTAATCATCATGTAGCCTATGAATTTATATCAGTTACTGAAATACAGTTGTCAAATCATTTAGTTCAACGGATTTGTCAATTTACCTGTTTTGCCAACTCCGCTGCCCCCAATCACCGCTATTTTGATAGTCCGTTTGGACGGACACTCTGGGGCCGCAAACTCCGCGATGGTTGACATGTTCTGGATCAGACGCATTTTGGCTAATTCCTTGTTCAGTTTTGAAGACGATGCAAAATCCAAATTGTATTCAGCTCTGTCAAATAATGTCTCTGGAGAAGGAACCGCTTTTATCCGTGGGTTATTATTATTATTTTTTAAACACACTTGTTCACTGGAACCAACCGTGTGAATACTGTGCACTACAAAAGCTCGGTGGCTTTTATAGTGCCAACGAAATGCTTCACGCTGATTGGCTACTGGCAACAGCACGCTCGCTCGGCTCCCTGCGGCCCTTCACGTGGATCCGCGAGCCAAACACAAGGAGAAAAATAATGCCCCGTGCTACAGGTTGGTCAGTTCGGATGAATTAACAAAACATCCTTTATTTGACAGAAAAAGTGTTAATAACTGCTGTAGAGGGGCTGGGGCGATAGTAATTGTCCAGATATATGTAATCTTCAATGACATGGAGCTAGGAACGCAAGCATTTAGCTACACCCACAATAACATCTGCTAAATATGTGTATGCAACCAATAAAATGTGATTTGATTATTATCTAAACCACGTGAAATGGTAAATGAGATTATAGGATAATTATTTATCCTAAATAGAAACCTAACATCCAAAAAAGTAATTTAGGCATTAAAAAAGTTAAAGTTAAAAAAGGAGCATATAAGTATGATTGGACCACATGCACACATTTGCACATCTGCAGGAGTCTAACACATCACAGCACAATAGGTTTCACAGCAAAGTAAAAATGTATTTGTTTAATAGTTTTCCTATTTAGAGATGCATTGACTGTAATTGTCTGTATAAAACATGCACAAAAACATCCAGGTAATTTGTGTCTGTCAGTCTGCATGTGCAAAAGGACTGGGAAGATGATAGCTGTCAGTTGTTCAGTGGCAGCCATTCCCTGTTGTGTAAATGGTATTTAGCCAGTTCCTATGTACTTCTTGGACTGTTGTGGTGAAATAGATCCATGCTTATGGTGGTGGGTGTGATGTATTGGGGTTGTGCCGCAGATCATCATGGGAGTTGTGTATGTGTTGATGATCACTTTCAGATAAATGGTTGAACTGAATTCCTGTCTCATCCTTATTTAATTGTTATAAATACGTGGTTATGAAACCCGTGAGACATAACAAAAGATTGCAGACGAGTATTCTTTGAGTATGAAAAAATGTATGCACTCACTAATTGTAAGTCTGCTAAATGACTAAAATGTAAAATGTATTCTGAACCTACAGGAACTTTTCTGTCCGGAAGAAGTCGGATTTAACAAGTTTAAAACGGTTATTTTCCGTGGGACAGTCTAGGCTAATGTTAGCACAGTGTATTGCTAGCAGAGGTAAGTAAGCATTTCACTGTTAGTCCTACACCTGTTGTTTACGAAGCATGTGACAAATCAAATTTGATTTGAAGTGCATAGTCGAGCTAGCTAAGAGAGAGAGTTAGCATCGTCATAGACGGCAGAAAAAGATTTGAGACGGACGTCAGAGTAGGAAAACAACATGATTAAAAGGGGAGGAATATACAGTGAGCAAAAGAAAGGACATTTATTCAACAGTGAAGACAAACTTTGTAATTAAAAACTGAATGGATGAAACGTTAGTGAATGAAGATCACGTGACTGAGGAAAATATTGCTGTGGTTGAGGACATCATTGAAGTGAGTGACAATCAGGAGCCTTTTGAGAAATTAAAAATGGCTGGAATTGTTGGAAACATTGAACAGTTTGATGAAAGTATTGAGCATTATACAACGGGCGGGTCTAATCCTGAATGCTGATTGGTTAAAACCGCATTCCAGCCGGTATCTATTCCACAAATTACCACCAGCTAAATCTATTACGTTAAAATGCCTATTTACACTGTTCCATCTGACTGCGCAATCCACTGTCTCATCAACCCAGTCAGGCACTTTATAAACGTCATCTCCACTATACAAAGCATCTAGACATTATCTCACATTTGTTTTAGACTAACATTTTGTTTTCAACAGTGGATATTTGTGTAAACCTTGCTGTCCGTCTCCGACATTTGCAACATTGTTTCAATATTCAAATTCGATCTCCTGCTGTCACATAGTATTGAACGAGTCGGGACGAGACAGAAAGGCAGACAGCGTTTCTCGGCCGGTCGAAATCATGAATCAGCTGGAATCATTTTTATGGATACAAAAAAAAATGTCAGTTGAAAAGAGGTACAACAAAATGCACCTAATTTGCAGTCTTTCCATCTTCAGTTTGAAGTGATTGTGTTACTGTAGCTGTGTTGTTGGCTAGGTCCTCAGAACAACAGTGTCCTGACGAGTGAGCACATTCTCTATGCCAGACGAAATCGCGCCTCATTAGCTCATTGTTATGGTTGTATCCAAATACATGTCACTTGAAAACAGCTTAAACAAATGCAAATGAAGCTACTTTGCTGTTATTCTGGCAGAACTTTTTGACTGTAAATTGGCCGTAGTTGGCTAGCTAGCAAGCAAGGGATAAGAACGTTCCCAACCAGTATGGCAATAGAACATTTAGAACGAACGACTGGGTCGCGTCTATAGATACTGAACGACTGGGTCGCGTCCATATACAGAACAAAAAGAACGAATGACTGGGTCGTGTCTCTAGCAACCCTAGATTTGTGTCGGGGCTATATCTTGTGGAAGGATGAAATAGTACGAATAAATTGATCAAAATAACGTTTTTAATGAAAATATGTCAATCATTATTTGAACACACTACCGGTGTTAAACAAATCAAAATATATTTTATGTTTGAGATTCTTCAAATAGCCACCCTTTGCCTTGATGACAGCTTTGCACGGAGTGAAGCTACACAAAAGAGACTATTGACTGAAAGTAATCTGACCTTGGCAAAGGCCATTGAAGTCAGTGTGTCTATGGAACTAGCTGCTAAAGAGGCTCAGCAGTTGAGTTAATTAGGAAAAGTACACAGAGTTGCAACTGAAAATTAGAGACTTCAAGGCACATGCTTCTGCTGTGGCAAAGCGGGACATGGGGCATCTATGTGCTGGTGTAAGGACATGGATTGCTGAGAATGTGGTAAAAAAAAAAGGGCCACATCGAGCAAGCCTGCAGAAACCAAAAGAGCTCAGAGAAAACAAGAAAGAGACATTCCAACGAAAGGAAAATAGATATGTTCACGCTGTTGAGCAAGAAAACACAGAGGTGAGTGACTCATCAGACGAGGAAGTCACACTGAATATACTGACTGTTGCTGGGGGTCCGCACGGCCAGCGCTTCTCCAGAGGGCGATGGACCAGATCTTGAGTGGATTACCAGGAGTACAATGCTACCTGGATGACATCCTCGTTACTGGAAAGGACGAAGAGGACCATCTCCAGAACTTGGATGCGACCTTACAGAGATTGAAGGACTACGGACTGCGAGTTTGTAAGTACAAATGTGCATTCTTCCAGTTATCGGTTGAATACCTTGGACACGTCATCGACGCCACGGGCGCATTTTAGCGTTTTTCGTCATGAATCTTGTTCTGGAGGCAACTCTGCAGAGTGGTCACTAGCTGGCACAGCCACAAAGTCATAAAATCTGATTTTAAACCTAAACCTAACCTTAACCACACTGCTAACCCTAATGTTTAACCCTAACCTTAAATTAAGACCAAAAAGCACATTTAGGTTTCATGAATTTTTACATTATAGCTCATTTTGACTTTCCAGCTGGCCCATCTAGCAGAAATAGCTCAGTTCTGCCTCCAGGGCAAGATTCATGACAATAAACGTCATCCGGCACCATGGGCATTCACAAGGCTCCGTTCAAGGTCAAGGCTATCTTGGATGCCCCAGCTCCTCAGAATGTCAGCCAACTACGTTCACTTCGTCGGATGTGGCAGGGCTTGCAACCTATTACAGACTACAAAGGGAAGCACAGCTGCAAGCGGCCCAGTGACATAAGCCTACCAGACGAGCTAAATTGCTTCTATGCTCGCTTCGAGGCAACACTGAAGCATGCATAAGAGCATCAGCTGTTCCGTACGACTGTGTGATCACGCTCTCCGTAGCCGATGTGAGTAAGACCTTTAAACAGGTCAACATTCACAAGGCCGCAGGGCCAGTACGTGTACTCCGAGCATGCGCTGACCAACTTGCAAGTGTCTTCACTGACATTTTCAACATGTCCCTGACTGAGTCTGTAATACCAACATGTTTCAAGCAGACTACCATAGTCCCTGTGCCCAAGAACACCAAGGTAACCTGCCTAAATGACTACAGACCCGTAGCACTCACGTCTGTAGCCATGAAGTGCTTTGAAAGGCTGGTCATGGCTCACATCAACACCATTATCCTAGAAACCCTAGACCCACTCCAATTTGCATACCGCCCCAACAGATCCACAGATGCACTCCACATTGCCCTTTCCCACCTGGACAAAAGGAACACCTATGTGAGAATGCAATTCATTGACTACAGCTCAGCGTTCAACACCATAGTGCCCTCAAAGCTCATCACTAAGCTAAGGACCCTGGGACTAAACACCTCCCTCTGCAACTGGATCCTGGACTACCTGACGGGCCACCCCCAGGTGGTAAGGGTAGGTAACAACACATCTGCCACGCTGATCCTCAACACGGGGCCCCTCAGGGGTGCGTGCTCAGTCCCCTCCTGTACTCCCTGTTCACCTATGACTGCATGGCCAGGCACGACTCCAACACCATCATTAAGTTTGCAGACGACACAACAGTGGTAGGCCTGATCACCGACAACGATGAGACAGCATATAGGGAGGAGGTCAGAGACCTGGCCCTGTGGTGCCAGGATAACAACCTCTCCCTCAACGTGATCAAGACAAAGGAGATGATTGTGGACTACAGGAAAAGGAGGACCGAGCACGCCCCCATTCTCATCGATGGGGCTGTAGTGGAGCAGCTTGAGAGCTTCAGTTTCCTTGGTGTCCACATCACTAACAAACTATCATGGTCCAAACATAGCAAGACAGTTGTGAAGAGGGCACGACAAAGCCTATTCCCCCTCAGGAGACTGAAAAGATTTGGCAT